CATTGTTCACAATAGCATAAAGATGGAAACAACCTAGATGCCATCAACAGATGCGTAGATAAACAAATTAGGGTATATTCACAGAATGGAATCCTGTGCAACTATAAAGAAGAATGATGAATTCCTGAAACATATCATCATATGAATGGTCTGGAAGGCATTATGCTGAGTGAAATTAGTCAGAAAAGGACAAATATTCTATGAGGCCAATATTATAAGAGCTCAAGAAAATATTTAAACACAGAAGGAACATTCTTTGATGGTTACGCCAGTGAGGAGGGAGGAAGAGGTGTATTCACTAACTAGATAGTAGATAAAGTTATCTTAGGTGAGGAGAGGACAAAAAAAGAGTCGAAGTCAGCATAACTGGACTGTCTTAGTTGGCTAGTGCTGCTATAACAGAAATACCACAAGTGGATGGCTTTTAACAAAGAGAAATTTATTCTCTCACAGTCTAGTAGGCTAAAAGTCCAAATTCAAAGCATCAGCTCCAGGGAAAGGCTTTCTCTTTCTGTCGGCTCTGGAGGAAGGTCCTTGTGATGCATCAGTATTCCCTTGGTCTGATAGCATCTCAGCACAGGAACCTCAATCTCCAAGGAAGCACTCTGCTCCCAGCACTTCTTTCTTGGTGGTATTAGGTCCCCATGTCCTCTGCTCACTTCTCTCTTTTATATCTCAAAAGAGATTGGCTTAAGACACTGTCTAATCTTGTAGATGTCATCAATATAAACACCACTAATCCGTGTTATTACAGCCTAGTGATAGAACATACAACACATAGGGAAATCACATCAGATTACAAAATGGTAGACAATCATATAATACTGGAAATCATGACCTAGCATAGTTGACAGATATTTTGGGGGGACACAATTCAATCCATTACATTCTACCCTCAGGCCCCCCAAAATTCATGCCCTTACCACATGTAAAACACATTCACTCCCTCATATCATAGCAAAAGTCTTAAATCAACTCCAAGTTCAAAATCCAAAAATTCTTCCTCTTCTGTGAAATCTGAAGAAGAAGTTATCGGCTTCCAAAGCCGCAATGGCAGAACAGGCACAAGCTAGACATATTCCATTACAAATGGGAGAAATTGAAGGGAAAGGAGGCATAACAGGTACCAAGCAAGTTAGCAGAACACATTATATTAGCCCTCAAGTCTTCAAAATAATCCTCTGTTCTCTGAGACAATTTACACAATGGCCCTGCCGTCCAGACTCTAGGTATTGACCACACTCTCCTTCCAGGCCCACTGGGATGGCAACTGTGCTCCCTCAGCTTTGGTGCACCATTCCCCTACTCCATCTGAGTGGCAAATGCACCCTTAGAAACACCAGGGGTCTCAAAACCCCAGAGGTCAAGGTCATACCTTTGGAGACTGAGGAAACTTGACTTCCCGTGTTTCTTGACTCTTCAGCTTCTGCTTCCTGATTTCTTGTCCTCTCACCTCCTCGGGCCTCACACCCACATATGCCCCACTAGGGAAAGTGTTCCGAAGCTCTGTAGCTCTGCTGATAAGCGTGAACACTCTGCTGTCTTACTCTATGGGTCGGCAAGCTTAACTCCACCGATAAGTGCCCGGAGGCACTCCACTCTGCCAGGAAGCCTCCTGCATACAGACTCTAGGCTGTCTTGCTCCATGCATTGGCTCCAGGGCTCTCTGGCGCTGGTCTCCTGGTTCTGCTGCTGCTGGTTCTCTGCTGCTACAATTTCTCTGCTGCTGCAGGTTCTCTGCTGCTGTCATTTCTCTGCTGCTGCAGATTCTCTGCTGTTGCTGGTCCTCTGCTACTGCTTCATCTCTGCTTTTGCTGCTTCTCTGCTGCTACTGATCTTTTATCCATTCACAGTTTCAAAACCACTTTCACATTTTACCCGTCTATCAGAGCAGCACCCCACTCCCGGTACCAAATTCTCCCTTGGTCATAGAGTGCTGCTAGAACAGAAATACCACCAGTGGATGGCTTTAACAAAGAGAAGTTTATTCTCTCACACTCTGGCAGGCTACAAATCCAATTTCACAGGGTCAGCTCCAGGGGAACGGTTCCTCTGTTGGCTCTGCAGGAAGGTCCGTGTCATCAAACTTTTCTTGGTCTGGGAGCTTCTCTATGCAGGAACCTCAGGACCAAAGGACGTGCTCTGTTCCCAACACTGCTCTCTTGGTGGTATGAGGTTCCCATATCACTCTGCTTATTTCTATGTTTTATGTCTCAAAAGAAATTGGCTTAAGATACTATCTAACCTTGTAAACCTCGTCAATATAACTGCCACTAATCTATCCTATTATATCATAGTGATAGCATTTACTTCACATAGGGAAATCACATCAGATGATAAAATGGTAGACAATCATACAATACTGGGAATCATGACCTAGCCAAGTTGACAGATATTTTTGTGTGACACTATTCAATCCATGACATGGACTGAGCCAAAAGCTAAGAAATTTAATAAACACAAGCAAACATTTCAAGGGACCATGTAGTAGTGGCAGGGGTCTGGAGACCGTGGTTTCAGGGGACATGAAGGTCAACTGGCATAACAAAGTTTATCAAGAAAATGCTCTGCATCTCACTTTGGTGACTGGCATCTGGGGTCTTAAAGCTAGGGAACAGCTGTCTAAGATTCATCAATTGGCCCCAAACACATGGAGTAAAGAAGAATGAAGAACACCAAAGACACAAGGGAAATATTAACCCAAGAGACAGAAAAGGCCACATAAACCAGAGACTGCATCAGCCTGAGACCAGAAGAACTAGATGGTGCCCAGCTACCACCAATTACTGCCCTGACAGGGAACACAACAGAGACCCCCTGATGGTGCAGGAAAAAAGTGGGATTCAGAACTCAAATTCACATAAAACGACCAGACTTAATGGTCTGACTGTGACTGGAGGAACCTCATAAGACATGGCCTCTGGACTCTCTCTTAATGCAGGACTATAACCATTCCATAAGCCAACTCTTCAGACAAAGATTATACTGGAGTATAAGACATAAAATGATACTCATAAAGAGTGTGCTTCTTAGTTCAAGTAGATACACAGGACTAAATTGGAAGCTCCTGTCTGAAGGTGAGATGAGAAGGCAGAAAGAGATAGGAGCTGGTTGAATGGACACGGGAAAACTGGGGTGAAAGGAGGAGTGTCTTGTCACATTATAGGGATAGCAACTAGGGTCACATAACAATGTGTGTATAAATGTTTGTATGAGAAACTAACCTGAGCTTAAACTTTCACCTACAACACAATTAAAAAAAAGAAAGAATGAAAAGTGCTGTAGACTTATCAAACAGGCAAATACATCACTAAGGCTACCAAAGGATATAAACTAGACAGTTAAGCAGCTCACACACACACATTATATACATGTACAGAATATAAATATTTTGAAATTCGTGTATAATATTTCCCAAAAGTCATATGCTCATATTTCCAAGAATATAAATATAAAATATATAAAACTGTGCTGTAGCCACTAGCTAAGTTAACTGATAGGTTCTAGAAATGTGGCTATTTGGATTTAAATTTAAATTAATTAAGAGTAATTAAAATTTAAAAAATCAGTTCATTTTTCATACTAGCCACACTTTAAACTAAGATTTAGAACATTTCCATTAGTATAAATTCTCTAATAAGAGTGTAAGTTAAGTATACTCTCAAATAAAAACAAAAAACAAAAAACCACCAAACCCAAGGCTACCAAGTTGATTCCAACTCATTGTGGTCCTATAGGACAGGGTAGAACTGCCACATAAAGTTTCTAAGGAGAACCTGGTGGATTCAAACTGCCAACCTTTTGGTTAGCAGAAGTAGCTCTTAACCACTACACCACCACAATTTCCATACCTGAAAGGAGGCTGCCAAGAGTAGGTGTTCTTAAGCGTCCCAGGCAGAGAAAGGTCTGAATTAATGAAATCCTTGTATTATTTTCATTTTTTAATATTGCTAAATAATGTATGGTGAAAAGAATGATTACAATGAGTGCTCGTAATTTTGAGATAAACTAAACTGGAATTACAATATAAATAGCATATTTTGTGAAAAATTGATTGCCTTAAATGTCTGTATATGAACAAGGAAATCTGAAAATCAACAGTTTGAGCTTTTCTCACAAGAAGAGATTGGGACCTTCTCAGATATTTCCTCGGCTCACACACAGCCATGTACAATGGTACAGCCTTCTAGATACCCAGGTACATTTATGAGCTTTTCAAAGCTCTCTCTGAACATCTTGTTGCCTACATCTTCCTTTGAATCTTTGATCAGGCTCTTTTGGCCCCACCTGTAGCTGTAATGTTCAACAATTGCTGTGGATTGTTTGCAGTAAACAATTTACCCACAGAGCTAGCTCCAACCATGTCAAATAACCACCATGTGCTGTGAATGGGGTTTTCCAGGGAACTCTGAGAAAGGCCAAATAACGACAATTTTGTGCTAATGGGGCACTGAAGAGCTCCAGACTTGGTCTTCCTCTTCAGTAGTGGCATAGCTGCTAGTTTTCATGTCTACCGTGCAGCTGCGGAGAGGATGTTTGGTGCAGGCCAAGTTAAACTGCCACAGACACTATCTTTCTAACTGAGGTCCAGCATTTTCTCTTGAATAAATATTCCCTGTATTGTCTCAAGCCTTTGTTTAATTCCCAGAGTCTTGAAAAAGTTGATCTGAAAATTTTCTTCCCTTTATAAAGTGTTTTCTTCCCTTTATAAAGGATATTTACAGAAGTCTTCACTCCACCATTCAAGAAGTCTCAATCCCCAGAAGAGTTTTCACTGTGGAAACCGTTAAGCTGGTATGAAAAATTGTTTTGAAATGTAAATGGCCAATCATACACAAAAGAATAAAAATTTGAGCGCTCACACAACCAGATATTCAGATTTCTTATAAAACTCAGTAATTTAGATATTTTTATTTTGTTACAAATTTATACAGATAAGTAAACATATTTAACAATATAAAGACTCATGGAACACAAGAAAGTTCTTATACTCACGGTTATATTTTGTTACAGAAGAGGGTACGGATGAAAATCAGCCAAGGGAAGAAGTACATAGGGGAAACTCCAGGAGGGTTCCAAATGTGGAGCTTCCAGATGAACAAATAATCTAATTTGTTATAAGACTTTTACAATTATGATATTATTTCCATTTCATGAAATATAAAGATACCTGAAGGACTCCAAGCTTAGGTGTTTTAACTCAAAATCGCATGCTTACAAATGTATATTTTTTCATCTCCACAACTGGCTGATTGAAGGCTATATTGAAATACCATTACACAGTTGTATCTAGGATTTGATGGCTCTGTAATCCTGTAATGCATAAAAATGCATAAACCAATTATACTTTTGTGTGGTAATCCATGAAAAAGGCAGTGTGTATGCAACAAAAACAGAAAAATATTATAAAAATGGGTAATGACATTTCTCACAAAATATTAGTAATAATTTTTAGAAACACTAAGTACTTCATTCTTAAGTAATATTTATATCAATATTTCATGTCATTAATTTTCAATTTCTTTCTACATGTCTGTAATTCAATTTAGTCCTATTTATTAATATTACTTATCTGAATTTTTCTTTTGTATTTTTTCTTCTATATGATGTCATTCAGAAAAACTTACGTTTGGTTGGAAGGTGAGCCATTTATCCAGAACCAGGAATTATTACTGCTTTCACGAGAGAGTCCAATCCATGAAGAAGATGATAGAATCTTCATAAACATCTACAATAAAACCAAAAAAAAATCTGTTTTAATAACCATTATAAAGACTTTTATTACTTAAAAGCATGCAGGTAGTGTTTTCTTTTACTTCATCTTTAATTTTCAAAACAAGATAAGCGTGCTAGATTCTAACACCAAAAAAATATTAAAGTTGAACATCAAATTTCATATTGTCAAAAACTTTCACAAATGTGTTGGCTTTTCATCAAAAATAACTATTTAAATATTAATTCTTAATAGTCTTATTCTCCTAGTTTTACTAAAAAAAGTTTAAATTCCTGTAACAATAGTTGCCAGGGTTTGATAAACTAGCATAACCAAAACATAACAAACCTACTTCCATTGATTTGATTCCGACTCGTAGCGCTCCTATACGAGAGAGTAGATCTGCCCCATAGGATTTCTAAGGCTGTAATCTTTACAGAGGCAGACTGCCACATCCTTCTCTCATGAAAAAGCAGCATAGTAAAGGTTTAAAAACTCTCCAGATACTATTACATTCTTCCCTCCAAAACAGTGTATTTTTCTACTATGTTTCTCAGAGTTTGGTTTTGTAAAGGAAATTAAAGGGCTGCCATTGAGGAGATACATGACATAGAAGTCAAACATTTGGTTTTCTGGGCCCCACCTCTTTCTTCAACTAGACTAGTCCTGCTTCTACCACTTTTTGTGCTGGTAGAAGGTTTAATTTAGAAAGACAGTGACACACAAACATACTGACACTCATACCAATTGAGAGAGAGAGAGAAGGATCCAATACCTAGTGAAACTATACTTTCAGGTATGAAGGGGAAATAAATACATTCTCAGATGTAGGCAAACTAAAAGAAAGTGTCAACAGCAAACCTACTCATTACAACTGACTAAGAAAGTTCTTCAAATAGAAATGAATAAGAAAGACTGTTGAAGTGTCAGAAGGAAGAAAGAACAATGAAAACTCCTAGCCACTCCGTGTACAACAGAACGAAACACTGCCTGGTCTGCACCACCCTCACAATCGTTATTATGCTTGAGCCCATTGTTGCAGCCACTATATCAATCCATCTCATTGAGGGTCTTCCTCTTATCTGTTTGTCCTCTGCTTTACCAAGCATCATGTCTTTCTCCGGTGACTAGTCCCTCCTGATGACATGTCCAAAGCCAAAGTATGTGACATGAAGTCTCCCCATTCTCGCTTCTAAGGAGCATTCTGGCTGTACTTCCTCCAACACAGATATAGTCCTTCTGGCAGTCCGTGGTGTATTCACTATTCTTCGCCAACACCCTGAATTCAAAAGCATGGATTCTTCTTCAGGCTTCTTAACTCATTGTCCAGCTTTCACATGCATATGAGGCCATTGAAAACATCATGGCTTGGGTCAGGTACCTTAGTACTCAAAGTGATATTTTTGCTTTTTAACACTTTAAAAAAGAGATCTTTTGCAGCAGATTTGCCTAATGCAATACACCATCTGATATCTTGACGGCTGCTTCCATTTTACAACTTCAATCTTTTCTCCATTTATGATGATGTTGCTTGTTGGTCCAATTGTGAGGATTTGTTTTCCTTAGGCCGAGTTGTAATCCACACTGAAGGCTGTAGTCTTTGACCTTTACCAGTAAGTGCTTCAAGCCCTCTTGGCTTTAAGCAAGCAAGATTTTGTTATCTGCATATCAAAGGTTGTTAATGAGTCTTCCTCCAATCCTGATGCTGCGTTCTTCTTCATATAGTCTTGCTTGGATTATATGCTCAGTACACAAGATAAATAAGTACGGTAAGAATACAACCCTAAAGTACACCTTTCCTGATTTTAACCGTGCAGCATCCCCTTGTTTTGTTCGAATGATTGCCTCTTTGTCTGTGTACAGAATCTACATGAGCACAATTATGTCTTCTGGAATTCCCATTCTTCATAATGTTATATATAATTGTTATGATCCACTCAGCTGAATGTCTTTGAATAGTCAATAAAACACAGGTAAACATCTTTCTAGTATTCTCTGCTTCTGGCAACGAACCATCTGACGTCAACAATGATATCCCTCATTCAGTTCTGAACCCAGCTTAAAGTTCTGGCACTTCCCTGTCAATGTATAGCTGTAGCTGCTTTTGAATTATCTTCAATAAAAATTTTGATAATTTTTGCACTCTGATCATTTTTCTCTGGAGTGTTTATAAATATAGATCTGATAGGTTAATTTTTCTTAATGGAAAGTCTATGTCATACAAACACTAATCCAAGAAAAAAAAAGAAATTGCAGTGACTGTATTACTATTTGTCACAGATTAAATTATATCCCTAAAAATGTGTCTGTCAATTTGGCTGGGACATGTTTCCCAGCATTGTGTGACTCTCAACCATTTTGTCATCCGATGGGATTTTCCTATGGATTGTAAATTCTATCTCTATGATGTTGAGATGGGATTAATTGCAGTCATGTTAGTGAGATAGGACTCAATCTAGAAGACTGGATTGTGTCTTCAGCCAATCTCTTTTGAGATACAAAAGTCAGAAGCAAGCTAAGAGTCAGGGGGACCTCATACCTCCAAGAAACGAGAGCCAGGAGAATAATGCATCCTTTGGACCCAGGGTCCCTGAACTTAGAAACTCCTTGACCACGGGAAGACTGATGACAAGCACCTTCCTTCAAAGCCGACGGAGAGAGAAAGCCTTTCCCTGGAGCTGATGTCAACAGTTTGGACTTGTAGCCTACTAGACTGTGAGACAATAAATTTCTGTTTGTGAAAGCCATTCACTTGTGGTATTTCTGTTATAGCAGCCCTAGATAACTGAGATACTATGTAACAAACTAATATCCAGAACAAGGAATATTACAAGAGTTAAAGAGGACCATTATAGAATGATAAATGAGTCCATTGATCAAAAAAGACAAAATAATTTTTAATATGTATGCACCTAACATGAAAGTTTCATATACATAAAGGAAATCTGATAGAGTTGAAGCTGAACAAGACAAATCCACAGTTATATCTGTTGACTTTAGTATTCTTTTTTCTGTATCCAATAGAACACGTAGACAGAAAATCTTTAATAGAAGAGTTGAACATCACGATCAACTATCTTAACAAAATGGACATTCAAAGAACACATCACACAATAACGTACATTCTTGTCACATGCACATAGGATATTCACCAACATAGACCATACACTGGGCCATAAAACAAACATCAACAGATTTTAAGGAACCGGACACATAGAAAATATTTTTTTTAATACTGTGCAATATAATTAGAAATTAATAATAAAAGAGAATATGTGAAGAATTTAAATAACCTAAGAGGTCAATGAGAATGTCAGAAAGAAATTTAAAAAAAGGAATAGAATGAAATGAAAACACAGCATATCAATATTTGTGAATTGTAGTTAAAGTAGTGTTAAGAGGTAAATTCACCACATTAAGTTCTTATTTTATAAGATACAAAAGGTGTGAAATAAATTATTTAACTTCAACTTCAAGGAAATAAAGAGAAAAACTCAAATAAAGAAGGAAAAATACATAAACATAATATCATAAATTAATGAAAATGAAAACTGAAAAACAATAAATAAATGAAACCAAATCATTTTCTTGGACAGATTAATTAAATTGATGAACCTCAAACCAGAAAGACGAATACCAAGACAGAAGCCATAAATTATATACAGTAATAAAAAGAGGGGACACAACTACAGATGTTAGGACCATGCAGATCACACAGGGCTGGGCAGCCTTTTGCTGTGTTGTACATAAGGTCGCCATTAGCTGGAGGGGACTTGAAGGTAACTAACAACAGCAACAACAACTGCAGATATTACTGAAATAAAAACAAAGAGTAAAATGTTCTGAAAAACTGTATGCTAATAACTTTTGCAATCTTGGTAAAAACAAATTATTGAAAGCCCCAAAGATTACTCAAAAAATAAATTAATTAATAAAAGATATACTAAGAATATACCTAGTAATTCTATGTGTTAACAAGGATATAGATGAAATGAAACTCTCAAACAATTTTAGGAGTGGACAATGGTGCAAACATGTTGAAAATATTCCGCCAAGATTTTATTTTAAAGTTAAACATACACCTCACCTATGATCCAGCAGTTTCACTTGAATTCCACAAAATTGAAAATGTATGTACACATAGCTTTTTGCACAAGCTTTTTCATAGTAGTTTTTTTTCAGAATAGAAAAATTATAGAGACAATTCAAATGTCCATAAACAGGTGAATCGATCAACAAATTAGGGAATATGTACTCACTTGTCAAGTGAAGCATTGATAGAAGAAAAACTAAGATACCACTTTGGAAATCAAGCATCTGAAAGTGAGCGCTTGCGGGATGAAGGAAATATTGTGTTGCTTGGTGTGGTGTGTTCGTAGATGCATATATTTGTCAAAGTCATTGAACTGTACGTGCAAAACTTGGGCAGTTGAATGCAAGTGAGTTATGCTTCACTTATAAAATAACACAAAAAGAATAGATGAAATCGCCACCTTGATGTACACATCCGGATGTTAACTAACAATTGAACGGATAAACAAATTGTGGCATATCCATACACGTACTACTCATGAATGAAAATAATAAACTCTTGAAAAATGCTACAGCATGGACGAATTTTAAAATAATTATGTTAAATGAAAGAAATAAAAAAATGTGTGATTCCATTTATAAAAAATATTCTAGAAAATGCCAAATAACCACTGATGATAGAAGGTAGATCAGTGCTTGTCTATAATTGGGGATGGGTGAAGGGTGGGAGAAGGGGCTATAAACGTGATTAATGGAACTTTTGAGGCTAACAGTTGTATTTACTATTTATAAATGATGGTTTCACAGGTATATACATATATTAACTCAAGAAATTATATGATTTAAATATGTACAGTTTATTTTATGTCAAGCATACCTCAAGAAATGGTTTCAAAAGGGAGAAAAAGTAAACTTCCTTATTCTGATGGAGTTGTCTTCAAAAACACCAACAGAACACGTACCCAGTGATGGAATGATTAAAGCTCTTATTGCGACATAGGTCAATAAAACTGTGATGTCCAATATCACTTTTTCTCCTCAGTTTTGAAGTGAGCAGTCTTTCAAGTAAATACATAAATAAACTAGGTATAAATTGTAATAGAAGGAATAAAACTGACACAGGTCATACATGATTAAATTTTGTGGCAGAAAGTCAAAAGGAACTTAAAGGCAAATTACTAGAATTAATAAGTGTGTTTAGAAAGATTGCTGGATACAAGGTCAATGTCCACATATCATTACGAAGGATAAATTAGAAACATCAGAAAAGGAAATACAAAAGATAACCAGAGACAAATCAAACAAAAATTTGATTTCAAATTTCAAGACTTCTACACAAAACCATGCTAAAGAAAATAAATGGAGGATAAAATCAGGTTAAGATACTACATTATTAAGATGTCAATTTTCAACAATTATTGATTTAACATAACTTAAATAGAGTCACATCATGTGTTTTGAGAATATTTATATAGAAATGTAAAGGGCTAAAGGTAGAAGAAGTGAATAAATCTTGAAGGAGAACACTGAATAGATAGAAAATAGAAAGCTTTAGTGATTTTGCCTAAGTGTTATAGAAGCAAGAAAAAAACAGCAGAAAAGTGAAACACAGTAGTGACCAAGAACATAACCACATACAAACGTACATTGATATCCTTGACTTATGACAAAGTTGGCCGCAAAGAGGAATAGATAACTGATTATTTTTACCATAAATTATGCTCAACCAATTAGATAATGATGTAGAAAAGTATAAACTTTTATCAGCATTACAAAATAATAAAAGTCAACAGATTATACATCTGGACCAATATATCTTAACTGGGCCAATAAGCAACCTCATGATAAATGGAGTAACTATTGAAGTTGTCAAGGATTTCATTTTACTTAGAGCCTTAATCAATGCCCATAGAAGCAGCAGTCAAGAAAAGATAACACATTATGTAGGGCAAATCTGCTGCAAATGATCTCTTTAAAACGTTAAAAAGCGAACAAGTCACTTTGAGGACTAAGGTGCACTTGACCCAGGTCATAGTGTTTTCAGTCACCTCATATGTATGTGAAAGCTGGAAAATGAATAAGGGAGAGAGAAGTAGAATTGATGCATTTGAGTTAAGGTATTGGAGAAGAATATTGAATATACCATGGACTGCCAGAAGAACGAACAAGTATGTCTTGGAAGAAGTACAGCCAGAATGCTCATGAGTAGCAAGGATGGCCACACTTTGTTTCACACACTTTGGATATGTTATCAGGAGGGACCAGACACTGGAGAAGGACATCATGCTTGGTAAAATAGAGGGTCAGTGAAAAAGAGGAAGACGTTCAATGAGATGGATTGACACAGTGTCTGCAACAATGGACTCAAGCATAACAACACTTATGAGGACAGCACAGGACCGGATAGTGTCTCGTTCTGTTGTACATGGGGTCGCTATGAGTCAGAACCAACTCGACGACACCTATCAATACATCTAAATGTAATAGGTAAACATTTTCAGAAAAAAAAGATAAAATATAAAACTGACAGATTGATTTAGTAGATTATCTATACTGAAATTTGATTAATTACTAAAATAGCTCCAAAATAAGCACTAATAATATAAATGAGAAACTGGACTATGCTAATAATAACTCCATTCATTAAAAGACTCCAGTGTGGGAGTAAACATGTAAACCACAGAGAAAAGTAAAACTATTATAAAGTTATCAAATCAAAAAGAGATCATATTCAAAATATGTCAAGAATTTATTGGTGGGGAAAGACAGACAATCACAGAGGAAAAACAGACAAGAGACCTGAATAGGCACTTGATAAAAGAAGATGTTCTAGTGGCCAATAGCACGTGAAAATGTGTTCAATCTAACAATAATTAGGAAAATGTCTATTAATGTAATAATGATACTATCATAGAACAATCAAAACTTCTACTTTTAAAATTTCTCATACTACTAAGTTTTGATGAGGACGTGGATCAAGGGACAGGTTCAAACACTGGTCGATAATATGTGTATGTGTGCTATGAACTGGTAAACTGTTGGGATAATTTAAAAATATTGACATATACATACACCTATAACCCTACATGATCCTAGAATTTCATTCCTGTGCATCTAGGTAATATATTGACAAAGTACACCCAGAAAGATATTTAGAGAATAATTACTCATAATAGCTAAATAATAGCTAAGTATTATCTTAATAGTTAAATTTCACCACAGGATGGATTTTAAAATGTTTATTCACATAACAATGAGTTCCTGGTGGTACAAATGGTTAAGCACTTGACCACTAATGGAAAGTTTGAAGGTTCAAGACCACCCAGAGGAGCCTGTAAAGTCAAGCCTGGCAACCTACTTCTGAAAGTTAGAGCCACTGAAAACTCTTGAAGTGCAGCTCCGCTCTGAAACACATGGGCCTCTGTGAGTCGGAATCATCTCCATGGCAACTGGTTAGGTGTTTTCTTTTCTTTGGTGGGTTTACTCACACAACACAGCAGTGATAATGAACAAACTACAACTAACTGCAACAATATGGTTCACCTGCACAAATACCGTATGTGACTAAAAGGAGGTACTAAAAATGCATGCTCTATGATTCCATTTATATAAACTTCAAACCGAGCAAAGCTAATCTGTAATAAAAGTCAGGATAGTGGCTTGGGAAGAAGACAGAGAAGTGATAAGAACATACATGGGGCAGAGCTAATGCGGAAAGGGCGGCTACCATTTTCTATTTCTTGACCTGGTTTGTAATTACATGGGTCTATTCATTTTGAGATTAATCTTTACAATTTTGATTTATTTGTTTATGGTCAAATGAAAGATCAAACTTTATTTCTGGAAAAAAATTTACGGAAGCATTGCTTTTCATGAATAGCAAGAACTGGAAATAAACCAATGTATTTTAACAGCATAAATTATAAATAAAGCATTTTCAAGCCAAATAATGGAGTACTATGTAGCCTTGAAACAAATGAAGCACAACTCTGGAAAACTCAGTCTTAGAAGAATCACAGTCAGAATGCTCCTTAGAAGCAAGGATGGCGAGACTTTGGCTTGCTTACTTCAGACACGTCATCGGGAAAGACCAATCACTAGAAAAGGACATCTCGTTTGGTAAAGCAGAGCGCCAGTGAAAATGAGAGAAACGTTCAGTGAGATGAATGGACAACAAAGGACTCAGAGACACCAATGACCATTAAGATGGCACAGGACCAGACAACGTTTTCCTCGTTCATAAGGTCTCCATGGGTCGGAGTCATTTCAAGGGCAACTAACAACAATATGGACAAAAATATGGGTGAATCCTAAAAACACAATTTCAACTGAAATATGTAAGACACTAAACACTTCCTGTAGTATAATTCTCTGTATATAACCTGCAAAGTAGGCAAATCTTTATTGTTTAAGATGCATAGGAAACATATGGCACATCAGTAATGTTTCTGATAGTTGTTATTCACTCAAATATATTTTGTATCCATTTATTTTAGTATGTTATACCTTTCAATAAAATATTTCAAATATTTGAAATCTTACCATTTCTTCTTCATTATCTATATAAAACAGATTAGATTTCTTAGAAACACAGGCCATCCGACTCTCAGTCCAATTTTTTATATCACTGCTAATATAATAGCAATGGTTGGAATAGGAGAACCACTCCTCTGGACAACGGTGACAATGATTAGCTGAAAAAAGGATATGAGTCACTACCCAGGAACAATTTGAATTAAAAAATATAAATTAGTTGACATATTTGCATAGGCTTAAGTATGTATCTATATAACCTATATATGCAATGTCATGCACTTACACATACATATAAAAAAATACATACCCACAGAAAAGGTCAGCCTCCCATTCCCTAATACGTACAATTAAAAAGCAAACAAACAAAAGCTCTATCCTATACATCTCCTAAAAACCACTGAACAACACCAGTTTTTTAGAATAACAAAATTATTTCTTATCTTATCATGCTGTTGTTATTGTTGTTAGGTGCTGTCGAGTCAATTTGCAACTCATAACAACCCAATATGACACAGTAGAACTTCCTCATAGAATTTTGTAGGCAGAGCCCTGGTTGCGCAGTGGTTAAGAGCTTGGCTGCTAAGCAAAAGGTCGGTAGGTCAAATCCACCAGCCACTCCTTGGAAACCCTACGGGGCAGTTCTACTCTTTCTTATAGGGTGACTGTGAGTTGGACTCAAGAAGAACGAGTTTTGTTTGTATGGTTTTGTTTAATCTTTATAGGAGCAGTAGGAACTTTGAGGCAGTTGTCAAAAGAAGGCTATAGAGATCGTAAAAGAATATTTCCTTTTAACTTTTGAACAAGAAGGAGTTCCTCATATGATCTTTACTTATGAAAATGTATTGCTTTATTTTTGAAGTTTTTAAAAAATCTGTTATTATTTCTTCATGACATAAAATAGAGACAAAATCCAATCTTAATATATCAGCCCTGGTGGGGCAGTGCTTAAGAGTTTGGCTGCTAACCCAAGGGTCTGCAGTTGAAATCCACCAGTTGCTCCTTGGAATCCCTTTGCGGGCAGTTCTAAACTATCCTATAGGGTCTCTAGAAGTTGGAATTGACTCACTGGCAATGGGTTTGGTTTTGGTTTATATCAGAACTTTTAAAATTATGACATACCTTTCTGAGTTATCTTCTCATCCATCATTCCAATAGCTAGAAAGATTGTAGTAATTATCAGAGAGATTAATATTTCTGTAATAAATCATAATAATTTTAGTTTCCTAGCTTCAAATTTAGTATAACATTTAAAATTGTAATAACGTATATTAAAAATGATTTAAACATCAAAAAGTAGTAAAGTAATGAAGGTTTTTGCAAAAACATTTGGACAGTCTAATGGAGAAATTTTATCACCTCTTACAGTATTTCGATTAACTACATTCAAATATGAAATTTTATTCACAATAAGTGTTCTCAGTCTCTCATTGCAAATCTTTGAGATGTGACATACACACACATGTGAACACACACACACACATACTATACAAACATTTAGAATTATAAACATATACTATCTACGATCATTCTGTGTATTTATACTTTCGAAAATCTCAGAATAACTCTTCCACATTTAATGCACATTGAGGAGGCATTCTTTATTTACTAAGACTAAAAAACCTGTTAAACATATCACACAAGTACATACGTTAAAATGAGAATTCTATTCCATAACATGTGAAATATACAGAGGCACTTTCAAACCTTTAAAAGGAATATTCCCTCATAATCTTTCAAAAACTTACAGTTATTACTTGTGACTGTCATGGTTATTACACCAGCCGTCAAGACAAGGCAGATGAGTCCCAGGGTCCCAGCAATGAGCTTCCCTGGAGGTGATGGGAGATGTGCAGAGAGAGAAATGGAAACATTGAGAAAGGATGAATGGAGCCAGTGTCCAGAGTGTTTACATACAGGAGAACCCAGATGCACAGGGAATCATGTACAGAAATACTGGACATTGAACTCACATTCTCCATTGTAATTTTTCTCTCAGAGTATACCATCTCATTTTCAGTAAAATAATAGCCCATGAGTTGTTCTTCAAAGCCCACAAATTTCAACAATGTCTCAACAGAATTAAGCTTCTCATTTCCTAGGAGAACATGATATCCGTACTTCAGGTCTGATCCTCAAAAATGAAAACCAGTTAGCCTACTCCCTAACTCTGACTACCCTTGCTCCATGTCTTCATTTTCACCCATTCCCCACATTTCTGCACCAGAACTGCAAATTCTAGTGCAGTTATATTGAGAACTGATTAGATGATTTACCTTTGCAGTGGAAAGTCTTGTCCTTCTTTTGAAGATCGTGAGAAGCACTGTGAAGGTTTAATTCCACACAAGTTATTTCCTGCTCAGTGACTGAAAAGGAGCTATGAGCGTCCTTAGGTTTGATTTGCTGCCTTTTTGGCTTCTTGGCCAGGTTCGGTTCTGAGTAAGATACTGTCTGATTATTCATCTCTGCAGCTGAGGGGTGTCAAGGTCTGTGCTCTATGAGAAACTGGGCTTGAGAAGGAAATACGTGCTGTGTACATGACAAGATCAAATTAGGTGGGGAGGAGGGTAAGTATCAGTGCTCACTTTGTCACTGAGAATCTAAAGTTCTGGTTCTAATTGACTTAGAGCCTTATACAAATGTCTCAGGGAGGAATAAGTAATTTTTAAAGATATTCTGCATTAAATAAAATGTTTTTGGTTGAAGTAATAAAAAGCACTAAATTATTGAAGAATAAAGAAGTTCATGAATAAGAACATCCTTAATTATTAAAAGTCATATTCCACAGAAATATTTTAAACTATTATAATACCTAGGTTATAAAATAAAACGCTGTATTGTTTAAATTAAAAAAAAAAAAGAATGGATCGATTTATGACAATATTGTAACACAATGTTTAACAACTGAGTGCTCCAGAAAAGTGGGAATTGGCAGGTCAGCACATATCAAAATTTATTACACTAAACTACCTTAATGTAGTGACGTATGTTTATTTATTAGGAGATGAAGGGCCATTGTATGCTCTCTTTCTAATTTTTTTTCCTTTATTTTATTCTTTCAATTGTACCTCAGGTGAAGGCTTACAGAACAAATAGTATCTCATGAAACAGAAGTACACATGTTGTTTTATGACATTGGTTAACAACCCCACA